TTGGAAAATAACCTAATTCCGTTTGTAACTGATAAAATTTACCTGAAGTTTCCTTTCGGCTATGTAACTCTCATAATTCCACTTAAAGTACCTTTTGTATTTATAATCTACAATAAGGATGTCCCTATTGTCCCTTATAGCCGGTTTCCCAGCTACATTTAACCATGTGTTAGTGTTTTTGGTTGGATAACTTCATGAAATGCGTTTCAGAATTATGTAACTTGAGTTTTACTCTGTTCAAATAAGTTTGACCTAAGGGTCAACCTAACTAACGAATCACTAGGTAATCTATACTGGTATTTGTATTATTGTATGCATTGAAATAACTCGAAAACTACTGGGCGGATTTTAAAAATCCGGTCAACATTAAAAAGGAAATTTACCTGTGAGTAACATAGGCGATATATTTATTAATTCCACGCTGAAAAAGTCGCGAGCAACAGCTAGTGATAAAATAAATAGAAACTTCGGTTACCCGGCATGAGTGCGTATAACTAGCTTTCGCCCGCGACTATAAAAAAAAATCAAAAGTGAGTAGCCTATGTCTTCTTCCAGACTATCCTCTACATTTATACCAAATTTTATCGATATCTGTTCAACCGTTTAGGCTACAAACTCTAACAAACATCCATCTATCTAAACCTTCGCATTTATAATATTAGTATGATAATATATTCAATATATGTGTGGTTTTAGATACTTCACGTCTCCGTTCGAGCCGGTAGAGGACGCGAGCGGGCGCTCCTGGCTGACGATGGCGCTGCTCGGCTTCAAGAAGGACCTCACCACCTCCACCTCCACCCTCGCTGAGGAAGACGCCATCGAGACCAGGCTGCAGGGTACGTAGCAATAGATAAATACAACTTGAAAGAAAAACGACATAGAAATTATGAAATTAGCGAATTTAAAAAAAGTCTAAATACTTTGTATCTATAGAGCTTAAACTTTGAAGACGATTTATCAGTAATTACTAAAATAAAATACTTTTAAAACTGATAAACTCAAGTTAAAAATAATATCGATAATAAGCCCAAAAGTAATGTATGTAAATAAAAATCTTTACACAAAAACAATCTACTTTTAGAAAAATAAATAAAATATTGTGTAGCTACTAATAACTTGAAAGAGTTACGAAGTCCTGCTTTTTTTGTATATCTTCTCGTCCCACGTAAGGTAAATTATCATGAAAAAAAAATCATTTTGAAGTTTCATAAATAGGAGGTTATTTCAGGTGGTACGTTAGCTGAATCCGTGGAGAACTTGGGCCCGGCTCCAAGAGTGAAGGAGTCGATGATGTCCAGCGACAGCACCCAGCAGCCGCAGCTGAGGAAGCCGGCGCCCGCCTTCACACCCAAACCCTCGGAGCTCAGGGAAATGAACTTCTGGTCGCCCACTTCCATGTAAAATACTAAAAACACGTCTAAGGGAATTATTAATTACTGTTCACGTGCGTTCGCATGAAATTATAAAAACTTTTATTGAATGACTTTCAATTGAAAATGTCAAATGTACAAATGACAATGAAGGCCTTTGAGGAAACAATTACGTTACCATGGCAACCTAGCTTTGATGTTTTTGTCCCTTTCTCACATGCAAATTATTCACCTAAATGAAGTAGCATGAAAATATAGGCTTTAGATTATACGTGTAGGTATTATATAAAAAAAAAAAATATTCAAAAACATTCTGTGATTGTTGACATATATGCTTCTACACTAATGTTATATAGTGGAATTGTACATTTGTATCTATATAATTCAAAATATGTGTCGGAAATATCGGATTTTCTTCCCTTATGTGACAGTTACGTCATTTTAAGCTATCTGAGCCTCTATCAGTCAGTTGTGGGAAGGCCCTAAGTTATAAATATGATAAAATTGACATTAGACACGTGAACAGAATTTTTCATTGCCATTGACATGTACAGTATTTTTATTAATATCGAAGTTATAATTAATGTCTATAATTAACTTTCTATCAGTATTTCTTAATTCAGATTACATTTCAATGTTACGATATAAGCTATACTTAAATTACTTTTAATTACATGTTTATATTAACACGAGATTTTAAGTAAATTTTATTCATGAAATTGTTAATCAAGATGCTTTTTTGCTAAAAAATTTGATATTAACAATATCTGGAAGAATGAATAATATGAAAATCAATCATTCACATGTAAAAAAAAAACAAAGTGCTTCGTAGTAACAAAACATCTTTGTTGTTCAAATTATATGTTTACATAAAATCTCTTGTTTAAAATAACAGGTTATTATGATAATTTTGTAGTATCAAATAGATTACAATTATCTTACGAAATAAATATAAACAGAAATAATTCATTTTCATCTTAGATTTATTGGTTAAGTAAAATAATAAATTTTATGTATACGACCAGGAAGTCTTTACCCTTCTTATTCCAGTAATATAAGTTTGTGTGTGTGTTTGTTGCTCATTATATATTAAATTGTATAAAATCATCAGTACAAATATTACATCATTTATGTGTATTATACATATATATTTTCTATGTGATTGTTTCGATAGATAACTGTCGAAGAATACAAAGAATTATCTAATTCTCTTTGGATAGGACGATGGTAATTTTTACCATATATTTCAATTTATGTCTACTGATTATTCTCTTAAAATTTAATTAAAAAATCACTTCGTAAACTATAACAATGAATAACTCCGCCTTTTTTATTTTGACGTATTCTCAAATACGTTTAGAAATGTTAATCTCTATTTTATTTAAATGTTATAACTTCTTATAATGGAACGTATTTTTGAGCTGTCAAAAGATTAAATAAAACTGAACATTGAGGTTATATAAATTGTATTTTTTAGTTAAATATCTTGCAATTCAAATAAAATGAATCTTGAATTATATTTTTGTATTAAAATCGATTACAGTAGTTTCAAAGAATTGTATGACAATGTGGCTATTTTTAATCTGTTGCCTGTTTCATATATTTTGAACGGTGTTTAGTTTTTTAATTCGGTAATATAGTTTTCGAATAGCAACACTGATTATTTAAGTGTCACATGTAACGGTTAAAGTTAGTTACTTTAATATTAATATTTTCCCTGTTATATTAAATTGTAACTATAAATTTTTATCATGAGCAGAAATGTCAACTTTGGTACATTTAAATGGATTTCTTTAAACCATGTTTTCAATATTTTAATATAGAGATAAAATAACAATAAACAACTTCACTTCAACTAATTTGAATTTTTCTTTTATTTATACCTATTCTTGATCGATAATAAAAATTGTACAAATATGGACGATAATTGAAAAATTGAAAATTTCCTATTAATATCTTAGCTTCGCAAACAAGTCATTTATAAAACTTGATTACAGCGAAAAAAATATTCATGATATCATTATTTTCCATAATTGCCGAATATAAATGCTTCAAGTAATAGATAATCTTATCTTATGAATATTATAAATGTGAAAGTTTAGATTGATGGATGGATGTTATGGTTTGTAGCGTAAACGGCTGAACGGATTTCGATGAAATTTGGCATATTTGTAGAGGATAGTCTGGAAGAACACATAGGCTACTCATTATTGCTTTTTTTATCACGCTGGCGATAGCTAGTGTTTAAATAAACCAGATAATTAGGCTACAAATCAGTAAAAGTATTTAAAACATGCTATATCCCACTACGTATTATCGTGACTCAATACATATCTATACCATAGGTAATCATCTAACTAATATTATAAATGCGAAAGTTTGGATGGATGGATGTTTGTTAGAGTTTGTAGCTTAAACGGCTGAACGAATTTTGATAAACTCATTAATTTTGAAATTTGGCATAGATGAAGAGGATAGTCTGGAAGAACACATAGGCTACTCAGTTTTGTTTTTTTATTCCAAGCAGACGGAGTCGCGGGTGAAAGCTAGTGATATACTGTACTATGCTAATCTTCGGTACAGATCCTACAGGGTTCGCCAATTTTGTGGCGAACACATATTTTAAATTTCGCGGTCCTGGTTATTGTGGGTAATCGGG